AATGCCCGGCTGAACATAAATGTTTTCACGCAAATTACACATTCTTTACAAAAATACAACTTTTGGTTCAGGTTTAGTCGCAACTTGAAATTTTCATCTATAGATGACCTTTCGCTCTGAACTTCTGAAAAATTTCATTAAGATGGGAATAAATTTTAATTTTGCCAGTCAAATAAATGCGGTGATGAAAATAAATGTTTCCACACGCAATTACGCGCCCTTTCTAAAAAATGGCGACTTCTCATTCGGTCTCAGTAGCAACTTGAATTTTTCGTCTTTTGTAGGTAACTCTTCGGTCTGAAGGTCCTGAAAACATTAATTTTCAGTCAAGAATTGCTTGAGTTTGTTCAGATTTTATTAACATTTTCAGGACGAGAAAACATTTATTTTGTAGTGGAGCATTGATTGCTGACAAAAATCGCAATTTATTCAGATTTCAATAACATTTTCAAAGCGTTAAGAGCTCTAAACAAAATTTTATTGCGTCAATTAGTATTAGTCAACGCGCGACTGAAAATAAATGTTTTTTTTTCAATTACACGTCTTTAAAAGCAGCTTCAATAGCAACTTCAAACGACTTTTCGCTCTAAGCAAAATTTTAATAAAATCTGAACAAATTTTGATTTTTTGCAGCCAGATCCTGGACTGAACATTAATGTTTTAATTTCAGTAAATGAATACAACTTGAGAATGTTTCCCAATTTTCCTGAAATTTTCAGGACCTTCAGACCAAAAAGTCACCTACTGAAGACGAAAATTTCCAGCTGCTACTGAGCACAATGGAAAGTTGTGGTTTTTTTTGAAAAAGAACGTGTTATTGCGTGAAACTATTCATTTTCAGCTCGGAATTGATTTGGCTCAGAAAACTAGGGTTTGCTCCGATTTTACTGAAACTTTTAGCAGTTTGAGATGGAAAAATGACCTGTATATCACAAAAGTTTTCTAGCTGCTCTGAGGCTCAATAGAAAATTGTATTTTTTTAAAGAAGGGGGTGGAATTATTTAATTGTCTAAAAATATTCATTTGGAGCCCGGCATTGATCTTTTGGCTGACAAAAATTTGAATATTCTAAAATTTCTTGTCCGGTTTGCTGCGCCAAGAAAAGCACCTCTGAAGGTGCAAGCGGCTCGTGCTTGCGAAACGACATCCGAAAAATCGAAAACCTCCTTTATCAAATTACCACTGTTCGATAGTGTACCTTGTCTCACCACAGGGTGAGCAGATTTCTGTTTTTAGCTATTCCTATGTTAAGTTGGCAACCCTGTAAAATTGGGCCTAAGGAAGAAGGGGCTGTGAGAGAGAGAGGTTATCGGCCATTTTTGACTATCGCCAGCATTTTTTCTGTAACACTTGTATCGCCAAATATACTTCCCAAAAACATCCGTACAATAAAAAACTATCAAGCAAAAACGCAGTGCTCATTATTCACAACGGCATAAAATAAGCCAGAATAATCACATAGTTCTCCGAAAGAGTTGACTCCCGTGGTGCACTAACCACATTAGAGGGCAGCTCAAAAGTAGTGGAAACTACCCACTTCACAACCACAAACGCCTCTTTTTTAAGATCAATATTCTGGGAAATTTGCAGCAAATTCTAAAAGAAACCTGATTATAAAGTACATGGAAATTAAAGGGGCAAATATTAGGGAACATATTAAGAACACGACATAACAACCTAACAAACATTGCTAGGATTTATACGAAAAACTTTAATCGGTCATATGGTAGTGGAGCGTTTCGCTCTGTTCGAGTAATAATAAGGGGTAGTTTTACTTAGCAATGTTTCCTTCATCTCTAAACCCGCTTATCTTTTGCCACATATATCTTGGATCACCCATCTTTTGCTCTTTAAGCAACGACTGCTTCTCAAGCAGAAATGGCACCTAAAAAACCCATTTCAAAACTTGGAGTATCAATAAGTTAGTTCTGCAAAGGGACATCCAATTAACATCCATTTGCGGAATCATATTTCGTTAACTTAAGTCCGATCTTTGGAACATTTTGCAACTATATCCTTTTGAGGGAAGAAAAAAATTCTATTTTACGGACTTGAGGCACTGATTCAACCCAACATAGTCACCGCACTTGTTATTGTTTGTTTATTGTTTGTTCATATTTCACTTTTATTGCTTAGTCAGCAGACTGTTGATGGTTGCAACCAAACAACATGCAAAGTTGCGTGTTTGCAAACGCAACCAGTCCTCTTGGCCAGGCTTTTGAAAGGAAACCCACTCAAGAATGTGAAGTGTTACGATTTGGTGGCACGGTTTTGGACGATGGTTCAGCTTGGTGAGACAACATGAGAGTTCTGAAGGAAAATCCGAAGAACCAACAGGTTCTTGATAAGCGATTACCCAAGCAGGAGAACCTTGATGACTTCGAGGGTTGAGCCATGGTGGGAGCTGCTTGGTCGACCACTGAACCAATCTGACTTGGTTGAACGGGTAGTGCGTCGACGTACCTTTCCGAAGAAAGTTCGCGAGCGCCTTTGACTTGACTTGGGTATACCATACGATAGCTACCATATCGTAATAATTGTGTGCGCGTTTCTCTTTTGCTGTGATATTTGTGTTTAAGCCAACTGAAGGAAGGATTTTTATCGTTCTTGACTAGGATTTCATTAGGAATAACAAGGTAATTTTTCCCAGTGCGATTTTATTCTTAAAGCTCTCTATGCCAGTTGCGCCTAAACAATGAAAAGTTCCCCGTTGTTATACTGGTTTGTAAATGCGTTTAAAATTGCGCTTGATATCAGCGCCCCAAATTCACAATTTGGGCTTATAAATGTATTTTCAGCGTTGATTTTAACGCAAATCACGTACAGAAATTAAGCGTTTCCATAACGCATACCAACATGAGCCCGTTAAGACGACCTGGCAGCAAAAGCTGCGACGGAAATGATTAAAATTAATGCACATTGCTGGTGCTTAAAATTAAAAAAAACATTGTTTACAATTTTTGCAACGAAAAAGTGAAAACTCACAGAAAGAACAGAGAGGAAATCATTCGGAAAAAACCTCCTTCTGCGTCTTAGTTATTTTTAGTGGAAGATCTCTTAACTGCGACAAAGAGCTTTGGTAAAGAGTCGATGGCACCTGGTGAGTTTCTCGGGCCCTTAGAAGAATAGTTTCCCCATGTAGATTCGTCAGCATTTTCCCGCGTTCAAAACTTTAATACGTCTGAAGAGGCAAGCCAGAAAAACTTATCAGTGCTTTGCGATGTTTTTGTGAACGATTACTCGTCTTGTTTATGGCAAGTTGAGGAGTACCTGGACCGATTTCAGTTTCTATGCAATCCAAAAATCGATCAAGCTGCATTTTACGAGCAAATAAGCTGCACTTTTCTGCATAATTTTAATACTTCAATGCACATGGCGTTTCCCTGTACCTGCATTACTCAATTTCATATTAATGACCTATAAAAGAAACCCATGAGCTTGCAATTTTTCTTGTTGGTGGGCCAATGTTGCTTTTCAGTTTTCATTTTTGGCTGTTTCCTCAAGTATTCCTTTCGCACAGTAAACTGAAGCGACCTAAATGTAATGAACGTGTGGTAATTCTTTCTTCGGCTCGTTATTATCATCTGTTGTTGTTACATCATTGGAAAGCCTGATCATTTCACTTTCTATACATGTGGTAGAATAAGCTGCGATACCGTCAAGTCATTGGTCAAATTTACACAGAAGCCCGGAATAAATGCAAGCGTGCAATTGCAAAATTGCTTCTTTTCACAAGCCTGAGCAGATATGTTCAATTCTTTAATGCGCTGGGTTGTTTTATAGGTCGTTTGACTAATATGTTTATTTTTTATATACGAAACGTGTTCTATATCGAGGAAATATAACGCGAATGTTTGATTGTGAAACGTATAACACGAAACACTTATTACGTAGACCTAAAATACGTATAATCGATGGATTTTGCCGTGTACTTTTTCGAATACAAGCTAAGTGTTTTAGGAAAAAACTGGACTTTGGCGTTGCATCTGGTAGCATCTGTAATCATGTGCAATTACTAATGTAGAACATGCATTCGAGTAGATCAGTTGGAATTCGTCCAGGCAATTTAAATGGAAAGGAAAATTTCATTATATACGTACAGTTGATAGTATAATAAGGTGTTTGCAAGATGCGACCAATGCAAATTTTCTATGCAACCTTGATGTTGTCAGCAACAATTTTGCCTGTTCAAATCAGCCGAGTCTTGGAAGTTATTTAAAATGGGCACAACTTGACTTTTGCACATACAAATAAGAGGACAACCGAAGTTGATTAGACCATAAAAGACTCAGGAAAATGAAGCCATTTACATTCAAGAACAGATTTCGCATATGTGTGAAACAACAAAAAACTATAACTTAAGCCTGGATTGGCTCCTGTTAGTATTCCGATGGTGATTTCTTCTGTACGACAAGAATGCAGTTTTGTATGCGTAATATTGCAATCACTTGAATTATGTGGCACCTATTCATTCACTCAAGGAGCTTGATTATCTGGAAAGTACCATGCTAATTATTCACCAAGAATTAGAATAATTATCCTCCTTCACCTGCTCGATTCTCATTTAAAAAAAGCGGCAAAAAGTTGGACTTTGCACCGCAAAAGCGCAAAATTATTAAAGCGGCAAAAGTCCTTGCTTTTCCTTGTAGCATATTCTACATATTGTGTTAGTAAATGCAAGTTAAATAACGACAAAATCATTAGTAATCGTTGTTGCAGTTTGCAGTCGATCGGAAAATGACCACGCTGTTTTAAACCAGATTAACTCTTAATGAGCTCATTCTAAACATTTAAATTATATTATGGCGTTTTTCAACAATCCAGCCATTCGCTTGGATTGTTTCGAACGACTTTTCAGTGCTTAAAAAGCCTTGAAACTGAAGGATACGCGTGTGGAAAACTATTCAAAAATCATTAATTAGGGATGCGGATAAATTAACGTAAAGGAAAATAATTCTATAAGTTTTCAAGTTCAACAATCAAAATGGCGACTTTTCTGGCTTCTGGTAAAAATAAACTGAAACAAGCAGAATGTTGATGAATCATGAATTCTCAGTTAAAACTTTCACACCATGCATATCCATCCGTTTGAGCACGTTTCTAATAATTTTCTTCATGTATATTTCACTTTCATTGGCTGTATTTTCAGCTGCTTAACCTGCTGAAGAAACATTTCTAAATCGTGACTCCAAACAGTCCTTGTCTACATTTTTTGGCTCTTAGGGACATTTCTTGAAACTGGACAGTTTTGCGGGCTTTTAGGCCGTCGCGTCTTTTCCGCAACGATTTTTTTTTAACTTTCATCAGGCAGATGAGGTATTTAACACAAAGTACAGCGTTTTATTACATTTTAAATTCGCAATAGTTTGTGTATAATTTCGAGTTAAGCATTGAGTAATTGGCATGTAATATTCTTTGGAATTGCACTCTTTTGTTTGCCAAATTATGGTTTGCATAATGAATGAACCGTACTTTATTAAAGGTCGCTGAACCGGCAATAAAAGAATAAAAGTATCATTCGTTATTGTTTTTTATTTTAATTAAACAAGTCGTAATGTCGTTAGGATTTTGTCGTAATTATCCTCGTTAGTCGATGCGATAAAACTACTTATTCATGTCGAGTTTTTTAAATTATTTACTCGATTTGCCGAAGAAAATCGAATAAACAAAACTTAGTAAATACTATTGACAACCGAAGGATATCAGGTAAAGAACGTCCTTGTTTAATGAAAACCATTTAACAAACCGCGTTTACTGTCGAATAATAATAAGGCCCGACCTGAATGTTTATTCCAATTTAGAATTTGCAATGTGATGCCATACTTTGTGAAACCCTTCTTGGATCAAACATGTTGAATTCATACTTGCATCATTCATAAAATAATCCATGCCCGATCAAGATTCTACAGTTGTTTAATTAATAACTATTTCACAACAGTCTTAACATCATTTGGGGCATAGAAACGGAAAGTTACCACATTCAAACGCAGAGAATCGAATTTTAAGTTCAAATAACAACGTTTAGTGCTGATTTTTCCAGAAAGTATGTTTAACTGAAAAAATGACTAAGGAAAAATCGCAAGTTTATTAATAAAAGTGAACGTCCATGCTATTTAATAGTGAATGAATTGTTGCAAATAATAACTCCTACTTCAAGGGAGTGTGTAGTTCTGCATAAATAGTTAATCCATTCTAAGGCTGATTTAAAAGTCTCTTTTGTGTGGAAATCGCAACAATTAACGAATATCGAACAAGCGTTATTTGAACTTTGTTCACAACTTGCTCTTATACATGTACATAATAGTGATCGCATTAGCGAAGAATCACCGTGAACTTGCACTTTGTTTAGTTTTTGCCACTAAATCAGCACAATCGGCACAACAATCGCATTAGAGTTTGCAAAAGTAAATATTTGTTACCTCGAATTATACGAGACGACACTCGTGAAGTGGTAGAAACTGAAGAAAGGGCAGGTTTAGAGTGTTCTTTCATGTTCAAATCCTGCACAAGAAATAAACTGTTCAACAAAATAAAGCTTTGATAAAAATTAAGCGTCAGATTTTTTTTTACAGGATGGCAAATAAAAATGTTTCTATCCTGTTCTCAAAAATTCAACTTTGTGGTGTTGCCTTGCAAATTTTTACGAGCTCATATTGAAGCTAAATCTTGATAGACAATCTTTTATATATAACATAATATTTTAAGTATTCATTTTGCATTAATTGCATTGAGCAGATGCTTCCACGAAAAGAACGCACAAGCATTTACGGAAACACAATTTAGAATGGAAAACATCATTAAAAACAGGCGCTTGTTTGCTTAGTTTTTCTGGCTTTTAGGTCATTTAGACTTTAAGCTTTCGAGCAAAAAACACTTCTGAGAATCCAAATCACCGAAAACACACCGTTTTTTTAAATTTTTGGCTGGTTCCGTGGGTTCTCTTGGATTGGATTGATCAATCGCTAAACTACCCGCAACTTTGTCTAAAAACTAGGCACCCGTTTCTTCGCATTTACATCAGGAAAAATTCCGAATAAATTAGTAAAAAACTAGACACTTGCGTGCGTCAGCGATGATAATCCAAAATTAAAATAGTTCTTTAGAAGAAGTCACTTCTTTATGTAAATGAGGCTAAACGTGGGTCCCAGCCAGACTGAAGAAAATATACTGATGGATGATTTACATATTCTGGTGCCGATGTTCTTTGGCAGGTTAATTCAAAATATTAAATAAAAGTGGAAAACCTTGGCACCATAACGCGAGCTGTTTCAGAGGATTTTTTCGAATTATCATTGTGCTAATTTCGATGTAATTGACTTCACTCGGTTTTGCCTAATGGTTGAAGAAAATGTTTCAACAATGCGATGAAACATTTTCTCAAAAAATCTTCAAAAAATCTTCAAACATCTTCAAAAAATTTTAAGCTAGTTGATGTGAAACGAAATACAAAACCCCATACATACATTGACTAGTAACCTGGTGAATTTGAGCCAGAAAAACATCACCATTAAGGAACACATAGGACCAATAAATAAGGCAATTAACCAAATTGCTCGCCTGTTCGATCCATAAATAATTATCATCACATACGAATACATCAGTTACATAGAAAATTAATTAGAATTTCTTGTATCGACATAATTATCCCCACCCAATAATTTTTTCGTTAATTTGAAATTAAACAGCGACAATCGTCACTAGCGTTTGCTGTTGGTGAGTGAAAAGTAATGGTTCACTTTAGTGAGTTTCAATGTGGGAGTTTTTGGTGAAGCTGGTTTATCAACTGTTCGGAATCGATTCGACCAACCAAAAAATGTGAGTGTCTTCCCAAAAAAACCCAAAGAATTGGAGAAATGTGAAGCGAATGCATCTTTTTATAGGCTTTCATTGACGTCAGAAATGAGACCGGTTGGGCCAAGTTGGAATTTTAAATGACTCGATGGTGGCGGATGCATGGAGGCAATGACTTTAAACTATTTTCAATTTTTACTTCAAAATGTACAGTTAACACCTATAATTGCCTCTAATTTATTAAGCAATTGGCTTTCGAGAAAGATGTTGTCTTGACCTCAGCGTCTCCAATTAATATGTGCGATATAAACCAGCTGGTCAAGGTGATGTTGCAATTTAGTACTAGGATTCGTAAATTCGATTCATTGAGATTCTGAACCTCGCTCAATCAAACTCACTGTAATGCCAGCTGGAATTACCATTAAAATTGTTTACAAGACATACCACAAACAAAGCGCATTGTTTGAAAATTCGCTACTTTTTTTAGCCAAAACTTACCATTTTTTCAACATTAAACCCCAAAACTTTAGTGGGGATTTAGAGTCGAAAATTCGGTTAATTTCTGTTCATTTTGTTTCACTCGCTTATATTTTATGTTCCATATTATCGAAATCAAACACTTTTAACCATCTAGACCGAGTTAAGGTAGATAGGCTCATAGCGGAAAAATGGACGAAAACAAGCCTAGAAAAGAATTTGTTTCTGATGCTGCACCTCTGAAGATGCAAGCCATCGTACTTGCGAAACCTCAGGAAGAAACTCGTTCTCGGTACGATTGCATTCGTCCAATTTTATGGTTTTTGCCTGTTTGCCGTAACTTGGTCGAACTAAGACGCTTAAAAGTGATTTATTTGAATATTATTAAACCTACTGTTCTTCCATATTAATAACAATAATTGTACGGCTTTAGAAGAAGTTTATTAGTGTGGATTTTCTTAATTACATCAGTAACCCTGAAAGTTTATGATCTAAAGCTACGCATTTCAAACTTTATAAGTCGCTCAAATGTTGGCAAATTCAGCAAGCTTTGGGGACAATTTTTTTTTTATTTCGGTTTTTTTATTTAATTTAAGTCGAATTTCGACCTGCTTAATCGCTTTTGTTCATTTTTCTGAACAACTTTACACAACAAAAAAACTGTTTATAAAATTGCCATTTAAGTGCGTAACATTTACATATACAAGCACGCAACCAAACGGTTGCACTTCCCAAAATAAGGAAACCTGAAAGTTAAACTTACTAATTTTCATGCAAAGAACTCTGGAAAAAAAGCAAATGCTTAATCTTAAATTCGAATTTCAAAGAATACATTTTTAATGAACCGAACTTATATATTAAGGGAAATGACAAATGAAAATAAGAATAAAATAATAACATAAATCATCAACTAGAAGAAAAAAAAACGGAAAATGAGCTTTCTTCAAACGAATAGCTTCGAAACGGAGCTAAAGAAAGTTGATAAAGTGAGTCCATAGCTTTAGAAGAATTTTATTCTAGTCTCAAAAGTTTATGACCGACTGATATCTACTAATTTTGAATTTTTTAAATTTGAAATTTGTTTTGAATTCAGCAGAATCAATTCACTTAAATTCTGGAAATTGTTTTGTTTAAATTTTGAGTTTTTTTCATAATTTAAGACGAATTTCGACCTCCATTCGCTCATTTTCTCTCATATTTGTCGACATTACATGTATCGAAAATTGGTTATAAAATGGCCTGTTTCCAAGTGGGTAACATTTTCGGAGAAGAACCTTACAATGAAACCGACTAAATTTCATACAAAAAGCGCAGGAAAAACGGCAAATGCGAATTCTTAAAAACCATCTTCAAAAAAATGAAAGTTTAAAAAAATAGGCAGCAAAATTTTTGAAATATTTTGATCTAACTAATCGACTGTTTCACTTCGCTCAAATTCTGCACAGTTTTTTTTTTTAATTTTGAGTTTTTTTCATAATTTAAGACGAATTTCGATCTGCATTTGATAACGTTTTCTAATGTTTTTCAACAACATTACACGTAGCCAAAAATTGGTTATAAAATGGTCTGTTTTCAAGTGGATAACATTTTCAGACGAAAACCTGACAATCAAACCGACTAAACTTCATGCAAAAATGCAGGAAAAACAACAAATACGAATTATTAAAAACAATCTTCAAAATAAAAGTTTACAAGACTCGGTAGATAAATTTTTGAAAATTGTTGGTGCGACAGATCGGCAAAATTTTAGAAACTGTTTTTCTTTAATTTGAGTTTTTTCATAATTTACGATGAATTTCCACCTACATTCGATCAGTTTTCGTCATATTTTCACAACATTACACGTGACAAAATTGCCGATGACATGGCTTTTTTCCAATTTTTCCAATAAATTTACGGTATAGTTTGAGCAAACCGCCCTTAGATATTAAAAAAAAAAACAGAATACGAATAAATTGCAACAAAAACTAATCAACTAGAAAGAAGAACAATTAAATCCAAGTGCAACAGACAATAATCACGCAAAACAATACTGCAATTCTGTTGTCTCGCCGAAACGTAATTAAATAAACGATATTCAAAAATTTTAATTTACACTTTGACTGAGACCCAGGAAGGGTAAGAATATAATAACAATTGCACCCAGTCAGGAAAATAAATCAAAATTTAAATGAGATTAAATGAAAATTTCGGTCAAAAATCAAAATTTTACAGGCGTGTTTTTTGTGCTCACTGGATTGATTCCGACGTAAGAAGCTTCCCAATGTACATATATAAAGTTTTTGCGCTTTTATTAGGGAGATATCGTCGGTTGAAAGTCATGACCACGCAAAAACGACTCAAATTGGCCAGAAAATGTCGATTATTTCGGATCTAAAGTTTCTAGCGTATTTTTTACTGAACTCGTTGCCTTGCTCGCCTCTTTCTGATGAAAATGATGTAAAATTCGAGGCCTTTTGTCTCTACTAAAAAATACGGTAAAATCTACCCGCCCCCTTATGAAAATTTCGGTGAAAAAAAAATTTTACAGGCGTGTTTTTTGTGCTCAACTTTTGCTGACATTTGTGGCCATTGTCTGATTTAGCCTCAAACCAAAACAGCAAAGAAAAAGCAGAAGAAAACATCGCTAAAAGCCCCTTGCCCAAACCAAAAAATAAAAAATCGCCCACTAGACACATGCAAATATCCAGTATTACTTGCCACCTATTAGTGTTATTTAAGAGAAAGTTAAACATTCTTGTCTAATAAGTAAAGTAACTAGACAGCGTAACATTGTTTGTAATAATCATTAGGCGAATCGACTTTGGTTCTAATAGCGTCTCTATGAAACAGTTGGAAACTTCTTTGAATGGCAATATCAATGAACTGTTATAGTTGATGTTTTATTAATTTCCCCCGCAATCAATGTATTGATCAAAATTGAGGCAGTTTTTTAATAAACCTCGCAGTTGTCGGTCGTTTTCTGCAACTGCTTAGCCAAGTGTTGGACATGAATTTGGCTCATCATGTGCGAGTGCAACCAGCAACAGAGATTTCCAATACATCCAAAAGGTATTCGCACAAAATCACGCCGATGTTGTGCAATAAACAGCACAATTAAATTGGTCATTTGCGAAATATGACACAAGGCCGAAACCCAAGGAAATTTTTCAATAATTTCGCATCGGGCCATTAAGATTAAGAAGCCAACATGTGTATGCTTCAACCGAAACTCGGTGCTAATTAGACTTTATAAAATATGGAAAATGCCCTGCTTATTTAAGTTCACGTTAAAAGTGAAAGCTGTGCAGTGAAACTTGTTGCGTGAACATTCCTCAATTTCGGTTTGTTTTAGAGGGAGTAGCGCAATGGGAGAGCGCATGGAACCTCCAACGGTTCCAGGCCCCGACTTGGTGGGTGTTAACGTGGAAAGGCCGTCGGTAACTCAACAACAGCAACAGCAATCATCGCTGTGGAACCGCAGGCAGCAAGCCGTCTCTGTGCGGCATGCTTACAAGCATTACGGATCGAACAAGAACCCGAACCATGTGCTCAGCGACCTAAACATGACTGTAGCCAAAGGAACCATGTACGTATACTTACAGTTTAGGCAGACGATGCTTCTCTTATATTTGCAGGTGAAGACAGTCAATCTGTCCGCACAACGCAAAATATGACTAAACATTCATTTGTATAACCATCTTGAAAAGGTGCGAAGCACGAAGTTTCTCGGGGTGAACATTGAGCAAACTTTCAGCTGCTTAAAACTTAAGTGCATCCTGTTTTCCGATTCGAGGTCTAAAACCTTATTTGCTGTCCATTTATTATTCCCAAAAGTATTTTCGCGTCTAAAATACGGAATTTTATTTTGGGAGTCTTATTCGCTCTTTTGTGGCTGTTATTTACTCGATTTCTGGCTGTTCCTGGCGTTTCCTATGCATTTTATTACTATGATCTGGTCACTCAGCGCTCAGCTGTGGTCCTCGAAAATGTCGACCAGAACCGCATCTTATTGCTTTATAGAGCGTGGCTGCGAAGGGAAAGTGAAATTAATTGGAATGGACTGAATCAATATAACAAGATTATATAAATTTAGTGCGCTTGTTACACATATACAGGATGTGCGTGCTAATTGCATAATGCCACTCAAAATGTTGCAGTTCGCATTGTTTTCGGATGGTGAATCAAGAAATTACTTTACGACACCCAGTAGAAAGTTTCAAAGCATTTAAATTTAAAAAGCGTTTTTTTAATGCTGATTTGCACTTTTACGGTTGGTTTTTTCGTTTGTCTTTAACTACCTTTCGCATTGACAACTTCATTTTTTGGATGATTTTTGAACAATTGGTCTAAACTTTATAAACCGCACATGTTTTTTTGTCCACTTAGTTTTCAATTTCTCGCAAATACATTTTCCATATTAAAAGCGATGAAAGTTTTGTTGAAAGTTGAAGCGACGTGGATTAGTTTTTCATTTTTTAATTGATTTTGTGCGGATTATGTGGGCAATTTTATGTGCGGTTTAAGTAGGCTCTTTAATGTTCTTGTATGATCTCATTTACAATATTTTGATTAGTTTTTTCCAAAAAAGTGATATTTTAATGTTTCTTACTTTCATTT